AGTGCAGAAGGAAGAGTGCAGCGCCACGCCCGTCGCAGTCGCTGGAGAGGGGACGACTGAGAAAGTCATTCAGAGCGACAAGCAAGGGTTCGTACTCAGTCAGACGCAGTCGACTGAGACAGACACATAAGTTCCCCAAGAAAATGCGTGATCGACAGTGCCATGGATTCGAAATCCATTGCGCGAGAGCACAGGTGGGAACGCCAAAAAACAAGCTACCTCAAGGCATGCTGAATGAGAAGCAATATATATATCAGCCCATCCACGACCCATATATCCATGTCCATATATACCAGAGCTACACGGAAGGCGTGGAGGCTTCGGGGCAGCAGAATTTGTGCCCTACAGAACTCACCCGTTCAAACAGATCTGCTGAGTGTAAGTGGACCTTCCCGTTAGTTTCCTGTTCTTTCAGGACAGCATCGACGGATGGAGCTGCTTCGCTAGGTACGCCTGTGGCGAGAGTACCGAATACATTTCCTTCCGTCATGCCGAAAGAGGAGAGGCGGCGAGATAATTGTCTGCTCCTAGCGTCAATTGAGAGTCCAACCCCAGCTCGGAAACTAAACCGTTTAACAGGTCTCGAACCTGGCTGCTGGCGGGTGCTTTGGGCGCTTGTAACCCCCATTTCGGCCGGTGTGTTCTCCGCCTCTGCCGGCCCCCTTGGCGACTGCGTCGTCCCCGTCGCAGGCTTCCACGCATCACGAGATGGCGAACGGGCTCCATGAGGATCTGCTGGAGGTGCTGAAAGCTTGTATTGGTTGTCTTGAGTCAAAACCAGTAGAGAGCGACCGCGACGCAGGTGCGCAGGAACGGCAAAAGCGCCGCTCGCCGCACCGGCAGGAAGGACAGCCACAGGGTGGCCGGGAGACCCTGAAATAAAAGAAAACGTGGCACACGTAAGAAACCGCTACTAAGTGCGAGCATGCTTGGCACAATCAAGTTGAATGGTAGCAGCTGTCATCTAAGTTCGGTAGTGCCGTCGCGTAATCTACAGCACACGACAAGCAAAGGCCCACGGCCTCTTCTACGTTTGTGCCAGCCACTCAGGCGCTCGTCCAGTCCAGCAGACAGATCTGTTTAAAGAGAGACTTCCTAAACATCGCGGAGGGAACAGAGCGAGTGCGTCCCTGGTCATTACAGGGACCCCGTGTGGCGTGTGCGCACACACGAACTTGTCTCGTGCCATCACGTTTCACTGCCAACAGGTATTGTCAAGCACGAATTATTAGATGCAGCTAGTGGAAGGGGAAGAAAAAGTTGGGAAGCACACTCACGCTGAGGAGGAAGAGGAGGAGCGCCGGGCCTGTGGGCCCCCGAGGCCGGAAGCGGTATTCGTTCCTCAGGCATTTTGGAAACTGTCTTTATGTTCCTCTGAAATAGTAATGAAGAGGTTACGAGGAAAGGAAGGGCTAATTTTCTCCGTTACACCGTGTGGGCTGAGACTCAGCCCCAGCAACACACACATGCACACACGCGCACACACTCTATAAGAAAGTCTATCCTGCCTCATAGCAACAAAAACTTCGTTTAGAAGAACAGGTAATGCAATCATCAGGACAAAAACAGAGTGGCTTAAGAGATCGTGCTGAACTCGTGGGAGATCAACTCGGCGGTTCTTCGGGACACTAGCACCCTGTACAACTCATCTGCTACGTTGTAAAATATCATTTGAGTCTGTGACAAGCTTGGCTGCCTGAACAAAGTGCAAACTCGCCATCCCATGAGCACCCTTCGCATCAGAGTAACACGGGGGTCGAGTGCACGAGTAGCCACGTGGGTAGACGCTACACATTGTAAGGGAGAAGTGCGAAAGTGCCCCTAATCTCAAAAATTATGGATCGACTTGGTATGCAAACTCATTGACGTGCGGTGGATCTTCAGTCTACTGCTGAGTTGAGGTGTTGCGTTTGTAAGTGCAGTCACTAGTATAATATCTGTTTCTGCTGTGCTCCGAGTCTGAAGGGAAACACCACACGCAGACCTTTGTGAAAACACTTGGCATGGAAAATGTGTATTTAGGATAGAGCGGGGAGGCATTCTTGATCCGCGTTGGCAGTCCCAGCGTCCGTGAAGCAATGCACATTTTGGCTCTATATACCGCCGCTGCAGGCTTCTACACAGTTTACGGGACAGCACTGCTTCCTAAGCTACGACTTGCTTTCACTGTGTCCACGCGTTAAAGCCCCAGCGCTGTGGCATGAATCGCTTGAGAGAGGGTACAGTGCCGCACATCCGCCAACCCGTACATGCAAACACCAGCGTCTTCGTAAGCACGCAGCATAATGGGCCAAACTATCTTCCGTTGGGTATGCCGTAGCTCTAACGTATACGAGCATCATGCACTGCTTAGCTGCAATAGCAAATGCACGAGAGCAATGCTCGAATGTGCCTTAGGGTAAGCGGCGATGCTCAAGCAAATTGTCGTCAACAAGGAGCGGTTGTTTTCAAAAGGATTCTGCCGCGCATTTCCTTGAGGCAAACTACGATGCAAGACTCTTAACCACCTGCACTCTGTGGTCTAGCGTGCTTATAGACGTGCTGACGCTGGCATTAGCAGGCCACCATTTCACACGGCGCAGAGAACTACTAGTACACGAGCTTTGAAAAGCTATTATGTGTAATCTAGGCGGCGTTGCGGGCGGTAGACACGGTGAGCCTATGACGGGGGTGGGGCGCTCTTGTGAAAGAGCCTCGACTACTCAGTCTCATGGAACCGGTAGTCTAAGGGTATTCCCACTCCACTAAACTAAGTAAGACCTTTTTGAGAGCCTACTTGCGGGCTGCGAATGAAATCTCACAATACCTATGTAGTAGAACAATAGCATGGTACCGTGTGCTTCTGACGAAAGGGGATGAGGATCTCCTGATACTCTGTGCATGGCATTCGGGAACTGACCCCATAATTTTGTTTCTAGCCCTGTATGGAGACAGCTGGGGCCAGCAATAAGCAAACTGTTAAACCTAATTTGTCACATGAATGGCATGTTCTACGAGGGCACCTCGGTCCTGCAACCAACGCGCCATTTTAGAGACTAGGATGTGAGGACCTCTTGCGCTTTGAGAAAAGCGCAGACTTTCTAGGGAAGCACAGCGAACTGCAAACGGTTTCAAGACTTGATTGCCCCACCAAGAGTAAGGTGGCATCTGCCAAATTTTCCGGCAGTCAACAGTTCCTATGGCAGTTCCACTGGTATTGCTGCCGATGGGCACGCTTTATTTCCAGCCATACAGTAAGTTAAAGTGACTATTCTGACTCAACGGAGTTAGCTGCTACTGACTACAGCGCTGCTACAACTTTGACGACGTTGAAGGCACGACAGTGTATGAATAGGACTTGCCTCTCCGGATAAACTGTGGCGGGAACTGTCTGCCCAATGCGTGGCTGCTCCGACCTCTGCTGACCTCAAGCTTGCTGATGGTTGAAAAGAGTTTGAGGTCCAGCGCATTGCGCGGCATTTACGTCGTCCACGTAATACGCCTCTTAATTCCTGCTTCCCAAGGCGCATTTCCTGTTCAACCAACTGGAGAAACAGATAAAAAAAAAGCCCTCACTACACGCTGGTCTGCAACTACTCGCACTGTCAGCAGAAGCTCCGCGAGAGCCTGCGTTCAATGAGATGCGACGGTGTCGTTTCTCGGGGGAGCTCGTTCGCTGCCTCGTTCGCCCTCCCTTGAAATGCAGACCTCACAAAAAATGTGTAGGCCTCATCAAAGTCAAGAGAGCAGGCCTAATGAAGGCAAAGAACGTTCCTCACTAAGCTTTGCTTGCTTTGTGTCCCACAGCTTCTCCATGAGGACCAACTTTGCCTAGTGCTGCACCACTTTCGCCAAAATGCTGCCATTCTGCTGCCTGCCTCAGAAGTGGGGGAGGGCAATGTCGTGTGGAGTAGATCCAAGGGCTGCCTGATACGCACAGGCTCGGGCGAAACCACGTTAACGCTATTCAGAGGAGGCGCTGACCACGAGATGACAACACTCCTGGTCAGCAAAAGGCGGCTGCGTGTAGACATACAGCTGAAACGCTGCAAGGTTGATTCAATTTTAAGAGTTCAGCTTTGGTTCCTGCTACATGCTGTGCATTCGTCTTCCTTCTCCGGAGAGGTCCGCTAATTGCATATTGCACAGTCTTCCTTTGCAATTTATGGATGAAACTAGTGGCGCAACACCTATGCAGACGTGCATGCCTGAGAAAAGGCATCAATGTCCTTCACTTCATAAGCTCTAAAGTTAGGCCCCTGAGCACGTATGTTCTTTATGTGCAAGACAACATGAACGGGAACACTGAACACTAGAATTCGCAGGTGTGCATTTCTTCTACTACTTCCATACGAGTTAGTAGGTACACGCATACTCCAGCCGACTTGCAGGTAGGCTCATACATGCATCGACTCATCCATCTTGCATCACTGGCTTTTCCGTAGCCGTCCCTTCCTGATAGTGCGGCAGCAGACATCAATTGTTCGTGAAGGCTGTGGAGGGAGCTACTGGTGTTGCTACTTCCCAGGCTCAGCAACGAACCACCGAACTACAGATTTCGTGTAGCAAGGAAGAATGAAACAAAATCGCCCTTGTGTTCATTGGGACCTGCGGTTGAAGATCCGCTCTAGTTGCTGCCGCCCCGTACACCCAAATTATCGCCCCAGCAGCACATGACATCAGCCACTGCGTGCAACAGTAAAGGGCGGATACAGTTACAATCGCAGTGAGGAGACGCCCGCCCCCGACTGCGAAAGCGGGGCGAAGGGCAGTAGCTAGCTAACTAGCTAGCCATCTGGTTGGAGCTGGGACGGGGCTGTATGCGTGTACGTGCTGCGCTCTTGCTACAGTTGCAGCACCTGCAGCTGCGCCTGCAACCCCTGCGGGGTGACCAGCCTCACTGTAAGGAAGCTCGTCTCTCGCACTTGCGGAGCTCACATAGTGCGCTTGATAAGTTGGTGATTGATAGTATATTGCTCCTTCACCAAATTCCATCTTTCGTCTGTTCCTTTCTCTTAAGTTCAGTCGGCCCCCTCAAGGCCAGAACCGAAGCGACTGTTTTTCACTGAGAAGCCTGACAACAAACAACATTGCCCGCCCACCGAGTAAAAAATAAGAATATATACTATCTGCAACCTATATAAGCGCAGGTGCACGCATTCCGCGAACATACAGATGCGCAGTCTTCACACAGAACTACATACACGCGTGTTGGTTGCATACATACAAACGCGCACCAACACGCACCAACTTGGATGACTACGCAGATAAAGCTGTAAAGTTTGTACATAGGCACGTGTGGATGCTATCATGTGCAACTTCGCGTGCACGTACAATAACAGAATATCGGCAAGCAAATTTGTTTGTGCAAGCTAAGTTGCCCGCTTGTACACGCATTGTGTGTCCCAACAGCGATGATCACGTGCCGACAAAAGTAATACGAATGTAAGATGAGCAAACAAAAATGCAACTGTATAAAACAGAGGCGCAAGACACACATGAAGTAAGCACGACCTAACATTGCCTTACCCAATAAGGACGGGTCTACCGGACGGCCTTGAGGCTTTTTCTTCCGTGATCTTCCTTTTCCATGGCTCGCCTCCCAGGTTGTTGCTAGAAACAAAACAAGCAAGTTAAACCTTATGCATGCATTACTTGTCGAACAGCTCTTGTATGTCCTATAAGAGTAAAGATTAAGCGCAGCAGCTAATACGCAGACGAAAGCACCATGCAAGCATGCATAGAGCCGACAAGAATGCACTGGCGGAGCACTAATCTTCTTCTCAAGAATAGATTATTCCACTGCTTCTGCTTCACTGCCTAAGCACTGCCATGCCCCACCACGGCTGCGCGTTTTCTCATCTATTTCCTGCCCATTGCAAAAACAGTGCTATCACGCTCACGTGGAGAGAAGAACATACCATGAACGCCCCCCTTTTCACTTTGGGGCTTCTTTAGGTATTTGTCGTTCGTCATCACAAAGTTCTCCGCAAAAAGACGTAGATTCTTGTTGTTGGGGAAGCTCTCTAGAAGAAATTCCTCCACATCCAGTGGGTTCTGAAACGCACAAGTGCTCCATGCTCACAAAGTCGCGGTCATTTACACTGCAGCTCACTTCATGCCTGAATATGGACCAGCAGTGAGCGCAACCATGCATGCAGCCGCAAAGCAAGCCAAAAAGAAACAAACACAGAGACTGGAAAACTTGTGCAGCATCCAGCCAAATATGGTGTAAAAATGCGTGGTAAAGGACTGCTTAGAAACACGTCTCCCACCAAGCAGCCACATCGTGCTTAAGGCCGTAAAAGGAGAATGAAGAACAAGATAAGTGCAGGACAACACGGATTAAACTTTCACTGCAACGGTAAAATGTCTAGTTGCAATTCAGCGTGCTGGCAACAAAAAGACGTGGTTCGCGAAGCTCTTAGGCATGCATCCATTTCACGAAAAAGTCGTGTGTCCGTTTACTCGCGGCAAGTTCACTTCAAAGAAACGCTTCGAACTCACATTCATACTCGCAAGATACTCCAGTATTGGAACTTCCAACGGCAGCTCGCACTCCGTCAACAGCGACTTCCACTCTGCCATAGCAAAGAGTCACGTCACCACGGAACGAAACTTCTGCTGCCTCCCGCCCCTCGTTTTCACTGTCTAAGGTGTTCCTTCGTTTGTGTCTGTCTGTCTAGTTTTATTGATCCTACGAGATAAGCCCGGCTCCCTGGCCTGCTTGCTTCATCGTCTGTGCCTCTATTTCTGTATGCTCCTGTCTGCTGTGTCTGTCAGCCGCTGTTAGTATGTGCATGAGCCTAAGTGCCTCTGTCTGCCTCGTGTGCAAATCTTTGCTCAAATGCACGCGCTTCACTGTTGATCGTAATTTGCAAATACGAACATATCCGGCAACTGCTGTGCTTCCGCTCTTGTCTATTTCGCACTCGCACCTTGTAGCTGTGCCGCAGCACGTTTTGGAGATCCACTGTCGGCTGCAGATGCAACATAGTCGTTCACACGCCATGCCTTTAAGTTATCTCCACACATTCCAAAGCACCCAGAAACAAGCTCCCACCTGAGGCACGCTGCCTCTCCCCCGCAGCAGCAGCAGCAGCAGCAACAGCGGGAGCAGCAGAGCAGAGGTGAGACCCCACCTGCAGCTCCGGTAGTCACGGCAGGTAGCTCTTCGCCAGCAGATCGCCTCGTGCCTGCGCAGCCATGATCATCCCTCCGCATGCAGTGAGGGGCCTGTTGCCGTTGAAATCACACACTTAAGGCGTGAAATGCAGAATTACTGTATGCGGAAAAACGTTTATGATCGTACCTGAAGAGGAAACCGCCGGAGCCTTCGTCGCTGCCTCTCCGTCCCTCTTAACAGGTGCAGGAACCGCAGCTCGCTGTTGTTGCTGCTGTTGCTGTTGCTGCTGCTGCTGCTGCTGAATGGGGGTCAAGGGCGGCACTGAGGCAGCGAGGCCCTTGGGGGCCCCCTGCGCCCACGCAGTCGCGCCCAGAGGCAAGGTGCTGCCCTCTTTCTTGCTGTGAGATGCAGCAGCAATAAAATCCTGGAGCGACTGAGTGTTGCCCTTGACCTTTCCTTTAGTACTGGGGGCATTTCTACGAGCTGTTCCGGAGGCGCCCTCGCCGCCGCCCACCGGAGATGGAGTCACGGCACCTGCTGCTGCTGCTGCTGCAGCACCAGCACCAGCAGCAGGCGTCACTACAGCTGGCGTCACGGAGCCGCTGCTGTTGGTGTAGGTGTTCGTTGCGCCCTCAAGAAGATCTGGAAAATCTTCAGAAGAGCCCACTGAAGGGGCCCCTGGGGCCCCCAGGGTTCCTGGAGCCCCCAAGGACGCAGGGTTCCCCCAGCCCGCAATAACCTGGCCGTTGTTGTCCTTCCGCTGCATTGTAGCCCACCGAAGGCGAGCAGCAGATGCTTCCTGCTGCTGCTGATGCTGCAGCAACAAATCAACACAGCACCAAGTACAACAAGCTCAAACCCGCAGCTACAGCGAAAAGACACTTTACAAAAAGCAGAAAAAAACACTATTCTGTGCAAAAGCCGCAGCAGCATCGGCACTGCAAACCCCAGGGAGCTGGGCCAGCGTCCAGCAGCAGCAAACAGCAGCAACGCCCGAGGCAGCAACTGCTGCAGCACGATGGTGCAGTTGAACTCACCGCTTTTAAGGCTGCTTCTTCCTCTCTTCTCCTTTCCTCTGCTTCCCTGGACTGTTCTGCACTTTGCAACTCCATCACTTCCTTCAAAGTTACAGGTCTACTCGCAACTGCTGCAGTAACTGCCACCCAAGGAGCGGGGCCCCCCAGGCCAGTCCTCCGCTGCTGCTCTCCTGAAGCATCTTCTCCTGCAGCACGCCTGCTTATCTGCTGCTGCTGCTGCAGTTTGGGGGCCCTGGGGTCCACCTCAGGCTGCTTAACCTCTTGCAACGGTTGCTGCTGCTGCTGCATCAGGTGCTGTTGCTGGTGCGGCTGCTGTTGCTGTTGCTGTTGCTGTTGCTTCTGTTGCTCCTTCTTTCGCTGGCCCTTGTGACCTGCTACCTCCCAGCCACCCTTTGCAGCCTCTGCTGCAGCAACGCCAGCAGCAGCAGCACTGACAGCCTTTGGCTTGGTGACGCTCGAAGCGGCCTTCTCCTGGGGCGCCTTCTGTTGCTTTTCACGAAGCTGCTGCGGCTTCTCTTGTTTTTGTTGTTGCTGCTCTTGCTGCTTCGTCTGGCGTTGCTGCTGTTCCTGCTGCTTCGTTTGGCGCTGCTGCTGCTTTTCCTGTGGTCTATCCTGCTGCTGCTGCGGGTTCCTTTTGTCTTGCGGGTGCTTCTCCCTCTCAGCTGGCTTTTGCGGCGGCTGCTTCTCTTGCTGCTGTTTTTCCTGCTGCTGCTGCTGCCTTTCTTGCTGCTGCTGCTTTTCCTGCTGTTGTTTCCTTTGCCTTTCCTGCCGGCATGACTCCTCCATAGCAGCTGCCCAGGTTTTAGGTGGAGCAGGGGCTGGTGCTTGTTGCTGCTGTTCCGCTTGGTGTTGCTGCTTCTCTAGCTGCTGCTGCTGCTTTTGCTCCTGCTCCTTTGACTGCTGCAGCAGTTGCTGGTGAGCTTGCTGCAGCTGCCGCTGCGTCTCAGACAGCTTTTCTGGAGACGCGCCAGCTGGGGGCTTTTGCTGCTCATCTACTTGTCTCAGCTGCTGCTGCGGCTCTTGGTGCTGCCCATGAGGTCCCCCGATTCCGAGGAGGTTCTTCAGGGTAGATGTCATTTGCGCTGCACGACCCATCACAATCCCCTGCTGCTGCTGCTGCTGCTGCTGCGGCTGCTGCGGTTGTTGCTGATCTTCAGGGGCGCCTGCAAGAGGTTGACGGTGCATGGCCTCTGCATGCTGCTGCTGCAGCATGAAGAACTGCTGTACTTGCTGCTGCTGCTGTGGCGTCTGCCGTTCATGCGTCTGAACAGAAGGCATTTGGGCCATATCTGCAGCAGCAGCCCGCAGTTGCTGCTGCTGCTGCTGGTGATGCAGCGGCAGCCCCGAGCGCCGCATCCACATTTCCCAGGCGCCAGCATCGTCGCCAACAGCAGCAGCAGCAGCAGCAACTGCTGTCTGTGCTGCTGCCACAGACAAGTCATCAGCAGCACGAGAAACAGCCGA